TGCGCGGGCAGCGGCTTGCCTGGCTCCGAGCGGGCAGCACAGCCGGCCAGGGCATGCCCAGGCATTGGGTTTCTCGGCGGGCGCTGCCAGGGCACCTGCTGGGGAGACATAGGCATCGGTCATGGAGAGGGAAGAGCAGAGGAGGGGAGGGAGGAAGGTAGTGGGAGGCCCAGGGTGGGCGATGGAACAACAGGAAGGGGATGGAGAAGGAGAAGAGGGGCTGAAGGGCGGGAAGGTAGGAGGGAGCAGGGAAAGGGTGGACAGCCCCGGCAGCTCTCTGCTCCCTGACGCCCCCTTTCCTGCCCGGAGAGCGGGGACAGGCGTCAGGGCGGACGCAGGGTGGCTTTTCCATGCCTGGAGCAGCCGGTACCCGGGTGGGCCCTCGACCCCCTGCCCTAGCACAGGGTGTGCTGCCCATCGCCGACCATCGGCAGGAGAAGCCGCGGAGCCGGGCTGATCCTGAGCCCGGCTGCAGCCCCCCAGCTCCACGGGGGAGCCCAAAGCACCTGCCCGGGGTCGAGCCAGGAACGCAGGGAAAAGGGACCCGTTTCCCAAAGGAAACTCTACCTGTGCTCCAAAAACCCTGCGACCCTGCCCCTGCCTCCTTGGAGTGGGGGAAAAAGCTAATCCCACTTCGTTGCAGGATCGCATTCTAAAGCCAGAGCAGCTCTTCGAGTGAAAACCTCCCTGGGTGCTGGAGAGCGGTGGGCTCCATCAGCGCCTGCGGGCTGTCCAGGCACCAGCCGTGCTCCACCACCGCACACCAGACCCACCGCTGGGACAACGCGCAGGGCCGGAGCCAGGGAATTAATCTCCCTTCAAAATATCTCTGCTGCTATTTAGCGACACGGTTATTTCTGGACCTTTCTTGCTTTTCTTCTGGGGGTGTTATTTCACCAAAAGCCCAACGCGCTCCCCCCACGCCGGGGCGGCACTCGGGGGTGGCTCCAGCCGGAGGATACCCAGCGGCACCCAGAGCTGCCCTGACCCTCGCTCGTCCCCCGCAGGACTTTGCACGGCCCCGAGCTGTTCCCCGCCCCTGCGGGAGCCCAGCGGCACCGCAACCCAGGCTGTGACAGACGGTGGCATGGGGTCGCTGCTCAGC